TTGTTCTGATGATGCCTGATACCTGACCCCTTGGACACCTCATGATGGCACAGGCTGGTGTGCTTCTTCCATGTGGGCTTTGTTGCTTCTGAGCTAGATGGCTGCTTGTTTATCTTCAGAATATAACTCTTTAAGGGAGTAGAAAGCCCCATCTTTCTATTGTGGAGCGGCTGGTGGTTTCGAGCTGCTGACCTTGCTGATCATAGCCCAACACATAACCACTGTGCCATTAGGGCTCCCACTTAGTTGGAAAGGGTGCTACAAAATCTTTTCAGGATGTGTTTTAAGATTAGAGTAATTAATTAACTATTTTTGGAGGTTATTATTACCATTTTTATTGTTTATTTACATAAGTCCATTAATTATTTATTTGTGGTCTACTTGAAGATGAATGTACTAGCTAACTTCTGAAGGTCCCTTCTAGATCTTTAATGATATATTAATAAGAATTGATGCATTTGCTTATGGTGTTGGCAAGAATATTGAAAGTATATTGTGAACTGCTAGAAGAACAAACAAATCTGTCTTGAAAGTAGTGCAGCCAGAATGCTCCCTGGAAGCACAGATAGTGAGACTTCATCTCACATATTTTAGACTTGTTATCAGGAGAGACCAGTCCCTGGAAAACGTAGCCCTGCTTGGTAAAGTAGATCAATGAAAAAGAGGAGTGCTGTCAAGGAAATGAATTGACACAGTGGCAGCAACAATAATTGTGAGGATGGCAAAGGACTGGGCAATGTTTCCTGCTATTGTACATGGGGTAGCTAGGGGTCAGAACCCACTTGGTAGCACCTAACAACAACAACAATGTACTGTCACTTTGTGTTTCCTCCTTGTGTTTCCTGTTTCCATTTCTCCTCCTTTCTTAACCCTCTGAATATTATCCTTGGGTAAATGCTGCCCATTTTCTCTTAAATTGTTGATTTTCTAAGAGGGGTGTGGGTTTAGTTCTAGACCTGAAAGATGGCTAAGGGTATCTTTATCTGACCAGGAAGCCTGGTCGCTTATAATTTTAAGTTTTGTTACACATTTTCTCCAAGTGTACCCAGGATCTTCTAATGTGATCCTTTTTAGAGCAGTTGATAGTGGGAGCTGGGCACCATCTAGTTCATCTGGTTGCAGAGTTGTGGAGACTGATTATTGTAAGATCTATTAGTCCACTGGACTAGTAGTTTCTATTTGCCTTTCAATTTTGATAATTCTTCTTTTCCCTAGAGGGAAGAGATCAATAGTTGCACCTTACATGGCTGCTCATGAGCTTTTAAGACCCCGTCATTGTCCATTCAAGTAGGATGTCGAATACTGTGAACTTCGTTATGCCAATTGACCTTAGTACCCCATTCCTACTCTCTTTCTCCTTTTTAAAAAGTGATAGGAATAAAATAATGATAATAATAGAAAGATAAAAATACAAATAATGAGCAAGAAATAAAAGACCACCATCAATATTTAAAAAGCTGGTGGAAGACATTTTCTTAATGGAACAAAGAAGAAATACTGAAGCCTATAACAAATTCATGTGGGGTCAAGTACTGACCAAGTATCAAGTTCGGTCCAGCATAATCAAGTTTACAATGCTCTTTGTTTGATAGTAAATCTTTAAAGCGTTCTTGGTTTGCTTTGTGAGTGGCAATCATACACAAAAAAGGGGTTCAGGAGAGACCCTGGTACCCTAGTTCTAATTTCCAGACACCACCTTCCCGTTTCCTTTACCTTACCTCCCAATTTTCTGGTCTGGCAGCAGGAGCTCCGGGTGGGTGCGTCCTATCAGGTCGCCATTTCCCTGTTTGATAGTAAATCTATTTTAGACTCTTGCCTGTGGCTAGAGAAGATCTCCCAGAGGCTTACTCTGACTGGACACTCTGTAGATAGGTTTTGGGCTTCCTCTGTCCTCCATAACCTTCTGCAAATTGGGTGTTCACAATTTAAGCTCTAATAATTTTCCCTTCATCATATTTGGGTTTTGTTACTGCTATCTTTGGATCACACAAGCTGGTGTGCTTCTTCCATGTAGACTTAGCTGACTCCTCACTTAAATGGCTGCTTGTTTGAATACAAGCCTTTAAGGCCTCTGACAGTATTCCGATTGATAGCGGGGCACCATCTGCTTTCTTCTCTAAACTTTGCTGTAGCGCCCTCATAAGGTGAGTATTGACCTGCTCTTTTTTTTATTGCTAAGAGCTTGATAAAATTTCCCCCCCATCCTTTGGAGTCGTGGTAGCATAGTGAGTTAGGAGCTGAACTGCTAACCGCAAGGTCAGCTGTTTGAACCCATCATCAGTTTCACAGGAGAAATAGGTGCTTTGCTCCAGTACAGCTTCACAGCCTTGGAAACCCACAGGGACAGTTCTACTCTGTTTCAGAGGGTCACTGTGAGTTGGAGTTGGAGTTGAGTTAAAGTTTAGTCTATTTTTGTCTTCGTAAGATGTGTCTTGTGTAGACAACATATTGCTAGGTCCTGTTATTTATTTATTTATTTTTAGGTCCTGTTTTCTTATTCATTCTGTTACTGTCTCTCTTGGCGGTGTGTTTAATCCATTTAAATTCAATGTTATAATTGCAACAGCTACTGTGTCAAGACATCTGATTGAGAGTTTCCTCTTTTTTACTGACTCTCTACTTTGCCAAGCATAATATCCTTCTCCAGGAATTGGTCCCTCTTGAGAACATGTCCAAAGTACACGAGACACTTCAAAAGAGCATTCTGGCTGTGCTTCTTCAAAGATAGACCTACTACTCCTTGGACCATCCAAACCAAACCACACCAAACTCACTGCCATTGAGTAAGGTTGACTGATAGCTACCCTATAGGACAGGTTAGAACTGCCCCTGTGACTGCTCCCAAACTGCAACTCTTTATGGGAGTAGAAAACTCCATCTTTGACAGTCGATGGCATATTCCAGAGGTTCCCAAATTTATTTGGCCAGTTACCCCCTTTTCAGAAAAAAAATTGCTTAGCAACCCCCTGGCAGTTAAAAAATTTTGTGCTATAGCCCATAATCCAGGGTAAAGTATAGAGTATTGCTTTTGCAGCCTGCATGGATCACTCTAGCACCCCTCAGGGGGTGGTATTGCCCACTTTGGGAAACACTGGTACATTTGATACTGTTCACCAACTCTATAATTCAAAGGCATCAATTCTTCTTTTGTCTTTCTTAGTCATTGCCCAGTTTTCACAAGCATATAAGGTGATTAAAAACACCATGACTTGGGTGAGGCTGTCCTTAGTCCTCAAAGGGATATTTTTGCTTCCAAACACTTTAAAGTGGTCTTTTGTAGCAAATTTGCCCAATGAAATACACTATTTAATTTCCTTTGCTTCTATGGGTGTTGATTGTGGATCCAAGTTAAGTGAAATCTTTAACAAGGTCCATATTTCTCTGTTTGTCATGATGTTGCTTATTGATCCAGTTGTGCGGATTTTGGCCCTTCCTAATTTGCTAATCTGAACATATGATAGAAAAAGCAAGGTTACATGTCTCTGCTAAGTGTAATTGGGGCTTAAGTTATATTTGTCTTTAATGCAATCAATTTTCTAAATTGTCCCTAAACCTTAATTGCTCTTAGTTGGCCCCACAACTTGACAACCTTTTCCTCAAGAGTCTCTAAATTCACCAGAGAAAGCCAAACAGCTGTCCCTTAAGTTGGCTGTCTCCAGAGGCCCTGAGCTTCGAAATGTGGAATACCAGACTCTGAAACTGGCATCACGATCTTTGTGTGAGGCCAGACCATGGCAAAGCAGGTTTGGATCCATTCTACAGCTGCAGGGATGGATGTGCAGACTGCTTGTCTTGCATGTACTATCTGTAGACATCACCTTCCATGCTGAATCGTGTCTCTGGTCATTGTCACAGACTCCACCAACGGATGATGTGGGCATCCAGGAGAGCGCCAGGAAGAAGAGGAAAGTCAGTGAGCCGGTGAAACTCATCTTCCCCAACAGAAATGAAAGATGTCTTCATGCCACTGTATCTTGCTCAAAGTAACTTGGTTTTACAACGACCCAGGAAGTGTCCTACTAGGAAAGTAAGTTCTTAGTGCCCAAGTCGTTTTATGGATTGGTTGTTTAACTAGTTAGTTTACCAAGCTCTAAATTACTGGGTAGGACTTGGGCTCACTTTGCTGGAGGAAACAGTCACAAGAGCTGCCTTGAGCTATTACTTGCAGGCTAAGTTACAGGAGACACCTCTGGTGTTTATAAAAGAACCTTAGCAGTGCTTTTAAAAAGAAAGGCGAAAAGGCAAGAAAGATCTTTTTTGTGTGATTAAGCTCCCTAACGATTTAGACGACTGTGAAGTGTTTTAATTTGTTGTGGTTGTTGTTGGGATTCTTTTATAGCTTTGTTAGCACTCCCACAAAATTGCCTAGGATGTGTGTACTGGTCCAGAGCTGATTTTTGTTTTAACTTCCATCACAAGGTTGATTAGCTACGTGTTGGACCAAAATATACGCTTTTTGTAAATTTCCTTAACTCTGGCCCCAAGCCCTGTTTGACAGATACTTAGAGAAAGGATGCAGACTACATACAATACAGGACATTTCTTAAGGCCGATACTGGATGCTTCCCAACAAACACTTCAGTTATCAGTCTCCTCCTGATCCCAGAATTTTGGGAGGCTTAATGATTAGTATTAGATAAATAATAAATGTCTTAAAGTATTATTTCATGGTTTATATAACATGGAATTTAATAATTCAAATAGGACTATGACAAAGTATATTAATGATGTGTACTTGATAGCTAAATAAAGCAAAAATTCAAGGTCTTTTTCTGCTCCATTTTTTTCCTAACTAAAAACTAGCCTAAACTAAAAAGAGTTTGTTTACTTACATCTGTTTCTCAAATGTAGTGTGGACATTAGCACCATAGTGCTTGTTAAAGTGCAGATTACTAGGTCTGCCTCATTTCTACTACGACAAAATCTTAGCAGATGCAACCCTGAGGTAAACTCCCTGATTTTTTTTTTGGGTAGGGGGAATGAGGGCTCTTACAGCTCTTATATTTGTACATATGTTGCCATCATTATTTTCTAAACATTTACATTCTATTTGAGACTTTGGTAGCAGCTCCTCTTTTTACCCTCCACCCTCATGACCCCTTGATAAATTATAAATTATTTTCATATCTTACACCGACTGCTATCTCTCTTCCTCCACAGTTTCTTCCCCCCTCCTCACTCCACCTTCCCTCTCTCCTCCTGGTATCACTGTTCCTGAGGGGTTTATCTGAGGATTCTGTGAGTCTTGAGTTCTTATCTATACCTGTGTATATGCTTTGGCCTAGCCCACAGTGAAAGGCAGGATTGGGGTCATGACAGTGGGGGGTGAGGAAGCCTCCAGGAACCAGAGGAGTATTGTGTGTTTCATTGGTGTTATACTGCACTCTGGTTGACTCATCCCTTCCTTGTTACCCTTCTGTGAGGGGATGTCCCATTGTCTACAGATGGGTTTTAGTTTTGTTTGTTTGTTTTGGGTTTTCTGATACCTGTTACCTTATCCTGTCAACACCTCATGATTTCACAGAATGGTGAAATGCTGCTTCAGTATGGACTTGTTGCTTCTCTGCTAGATGACCGCTTGTTTACCTTGAAGCCTTCAAGACCCCAGATGCCATATCTTTTGGTTACCATCAGCTTTTTTTTTAACCACAGTTGGTTGTGCACCCATTTTGTTTTCAGCGATTGTGCTGGGAGGGTGAGCATCACAGAATGCCAGGTTGTTAGAATAAAGCGTTCTTGCGTTGAGGCAGGGCTTGAGGAGAGGCCCAAAGTTCATCCACTACCTCAGTGTATTGCCATATAAATATATGTACATAGGTCAATATCTCTTTTTTTATGAATTAATGTATTTACATAAGTGCACACCTATGTTTATACCGCTATTCATACCTTTGCTTCCTAGATCTTTCCTCTGTTTCCTTTTACCTTTCCCACCATCACACTCACCCTTCTTCTGCTGCTTAGTAATTCCTCTCAGCTAGATTGCTGTTGCTCCGACAGCCCCAGGATCTCTATGTGCTCCTTGTTGTTGCTTTTAATTCCCTAGTTGTTCCTCTGTCTATGGTGCTGTTTGCTCATGGCTCCCTCCCCCCACTTCCTCCTCCCCCTAAGTCCCTCCGGAACCTTCAGTCTCGTTGCTTTCTCCTTGGGCTTGCTTCCCATGCCTATCTTATACAGGTAGGAAAACAAACAATAATGTTGACAATACAAAAAGAAAATAAAACATTGAATAAAAAGAGAAAAAGAAATAGAAAAAAATAAAAACCTAGCAAAAAAACCCCAAACAAACCCCAAACCCTCAAACCCTAAAAAGCATGGATAATCCCAGGTCTGCCTGCTGACCTTTATGACTATTTCCCCACTGGTCCTTGGGGGGTTCCAGGAACTGCGCCCTCCTGGCCTGAAGTCTATTTTGTGGGTTCCTCAGGGCCTTTGTAGCTTTGCTTTGCTCCCATTGCTGATCTGTTCTATTCCCTTCTTGGTTCGCCCGACTGTGGACGCCCTGATTCCTGTGCACATAAGAAACCTCTGACCTAGACGAAGAGGAGACTCTTGGGTGCCAAACAGCCGCTAGCCCGTAGAAGGCTGTGTTTGATGCCAGTAGAGGGAAGACATAAGGAAGCTGGCCTTCTCGCCTTTCCCTTCAGTATCTGACAGTGCCCATGCTACGCATGGAGTTTTCAGTGGCTGCTTCCACAGAGTGGGCAGCTGAGTCCTTCTCCATAGTCGGTTCTGAATCTGAAAGTCCCGTTGAAGCCTGTTCATTTTGGGTGACCCTGTTGGCATTTGAAATACCAGTGACATAGCTTCCAGTATCACAGCAGCACAGAAGCCACCACAGCACAACAAACTGACAGACAAGGATGGCGAGACATGTATTTGGCCATATTGTTAGGAGAGACCAGTCTCTGGAGCAGGACATCAGAAGCAGTGACAAAGAGGAGGGCCCTCGACGAGATGGATTGACTCAGCGACTGCACCAATGAGCTCAAACATGGGAGCAATTGTGAGCGTGGTGCAGTGTGTCATTCTATGATGGCACCTAACAGCAACACCATGTAATATATTAGATATATCATTATTATACGATTGGAAGAAAAACTCATCAACAACCTGTGATTTACAGGTGGCCCACCTTGCTTACTGAAAGTGACTAGAACTTGAAGCACTTGCTGATGAAGATCAAAGATGACAGTCTTTAGTATAGATTAAACCTCAATGCAAAGAAAACAAAAATCCTCACAACTGAACCAGTAAGCAACATCATGATAAACAGAAAAATATATTAATGGAACCACCATCAATGCCCATGGAGGTACCAGTATTTGTTTTTTTCTTCAGCAAATCTGCTCCAAAAGACCTCTTTACACCGCTCAAAAGTAAAGATGCCAGCTTGAAGACTGGGGTGCTGACCTAAGCCATGGCATTTTCTGTCGCCTCACAGGCATGTCAGAAGTGAACAGTGAGTAAGGAAGACTGGAGAACTGATGCATTTGTATTAGGGGGTTGGTGAAGAACACTGACCAGACCAGGGAATGTCTGAAGAACAAAGAAATCTGTCTCACAGTCAGAATGCTTTTTAGAAGCAGGATGGTGAGACTGTTTCACATGCTTTCGTCATTTCTCTGGAACCAGGCCCTAGAGAAAAGACATCATGCTGGTCAATAAAAAGAGTAAGACCTTCAACAAGATGGATTGATACAGTGATTGCAACAATAGGCTTAAACAGAAAGATTGTGAGGCTATTGAAGGACAGGGCAGTGTTTTATTTTCTTGTATAGGGTGACTGAGTTGAAACCGATTTCATGACCCCTAGGAAACAAAATAAGTATGATTATTACACATATTATTACATAGTATTTATTATATAATACCATCGTGCTATGTATCTGATTTTTATTATTACATAGTATTTATTATGTAATACCATTATGCTATATATCTGATTTTCATCATCGAAAATAAGCAGTAAAACTGTTTATACATAAGCATTGAAACCAAATCATCCACCCTTGAGGCAGGGAATTGACAAACTATGTTTTGCAGATGCCCAGAGTTAACTTTTTTATTCCAATTTAGCATCTCACCTGGCAAAAACTGAGCCGTGCACTCCAGAGCTCACTGAAACCCTTAACAACCCTCTCTGGGATTGGGGAAGTAGCTCGCACCCACACTTTCATCTTGCCTAGAAGCTTGTGTGATTAGGACCAATTATTCAACCAGAAAAACAGCTCCTTCTCTGGGGAGAGTAGATGCTAGAGAGAGAGGCAAGGGAGTGGGACATGGAACAACTGAGAAAGAATGACATCAGGCCACAGGTGAGATACATATTGAACACATTAGAGAGAATTAAAAGTTGGAAATGGGAAGAGGGAAGTCAGGTTGGGGCTGTAATGAGGCAGCCTCGGCTAGAGTGTTTTCTCATACTGGGAAACCTCTCCCCTCTCCCCAGGCTGCTTCTCTACCCCTTGTTAAACAACCATTTTCCCGATCCCTTTCTCCATTCCTTAGTCTCCTCCCTCTTATCCACAGGCAAGGTGAGTATTTACAGTAGTTAGAGATTAGCTAGACCTCTGTGTCCTCTTCTCACTCTAAGTAGTCATTTGGAAGCTCTTTCTGGGTCAGTCACCTTGTTGCTGTTGCTGTGAGGTGTGCTCTGCAGTTTGTTCTGAGTCATAGGGGTCGTGTGCACAACAGAACGAAACACCACCTGATCCTGCGTCATCCTCACAGTTGTTCTCTGTTTGCGCCCATTGTTGCAGTCACTATGTCAGTTCATCTTGTCACAGGCCTTTCTCTTCTCTGTTGCTACTCTGCCAAGCACGATGTCCTTTTCCAGGGACTGGTCTCTTGCCACTGTGTGCAAAGCGCCGGAGGTGAAATCTCGTTATTCTTATCCCTAAGGGGCACTGTGACCGGACTTCCAAGACAGATTCACTTGTTCTCTTGCCAGTCCATGGCACTTTGAACCGTCTCCGCCAGCCCGTGAGTCAGATCGTCAGCTCTTCAGTCTTCCCTATTCAGTGTGCAGCTTTCACGTGTGCAAGCACTGTGCCTCGGATCAGCACATCTTAGTTCTCAAAGTGACAGCCTTGTTCTTATCACATTAAAGAGGTCTGGCACAGTAGATTTGCCCAGTGCAATAAGTGGTTGATCTCTCAACTGTTGCTTCTGTGAACCTTGATTATGGAGCCAGGCAAGACGGAATTCTTGACAATTTTAATATTCTCTCCATCTATCTTGATGGTATCTATTGGACAGTTGTGAAGATTGTGGCTTCTCTCACAGTTGCAGAACTGGGTAAGTTCAGTTCTGTTTCAAGTCCATAGGTCAGATGTTAGCTTGGATGTTAGCTTCTCCTGATTTGTGGAGCATAGGAATCTGATGAACCCAGGATGGGCAGGAACACTCAGCAGAGGTGAATGACTCCAAGGTCAGAAAGTCAAGCTTGTGACTGGAGAAGTGAACCAAGGTTGGCAGGTTCCTGATGGCTCCTGGGGTCAGCAGGCGATATGGCAGACTGTTGGCTCAATTCCAAAGAACTGCAGGTTAATGAGCCAGATGCAGAATCCAGACTGAGCAAAAGGCAAGGAAGCCTCCAAGTGTGTCTATTTACATAAGCAGTAGGCCACACACACCCCAGGAAACTTCCTTTCAATTGCATCAGGGCTGGAACCTAAGGAAGGAGGGCTGCACTCCAGCTAATCTTAGAACTGCTTGGCTCCACAGTGTGGATTGTAATCCACACTGAAAGTTGTGGTTCTGTT